TCTTTGAGGTTGAGTCTAACTCTTTCACCCAGGCTGGAGTGCAGTGGCGCAATCTTAGATCGCTGCAACCTCCCACTCCCTGTCTCAAGCAATTCTCCTGCCACAGTCTACCGAGTAGCTGAGATTACAGACATGCACCACCACACCCAGGTAATTTTTGTATTTTTATTAGAAAGGGTTTCACCATATTGGCCAGGATGGTCTCGATCTCAGGATTCTGCACCTTGGACTCCCAAAGTGTTGGGATTAAAGGCATGAGCCACCACACACCACCTCAAGTTTTATATGTTGAATCATTCTTACATTCCAGGAATAAATCCCACCTGGTCATGGTGTATAATCCTTTTTAATATGCTACTAAATTTGGTTTGCTAGTAATGTTGAGGATTTTGCATCAATATTCTTAAAGGATATTAGTTTCTAGTTTTCTTTTTTTGTAGTGTCTTCATCTGGATTTGGTTGCAGGATAATACCAGCCTCACACAATGATTTAGTGAGTGTTCTCTCCTCTTCACATTTTTGGAAAAGTTCGAGAATTGGTATTAGTTCTTTAAATGGTCTGTGGAATTCACCAGAGAAGCCATCAAGTCCAGTGATTTTTATTGTTTGGAGATTTTAAATGACTCATTCAATCTCTATAATGAATAGTCTCATTATACTTCTATTCATGCTTTCTCTTTCTTTGTAGTTTAGTCTTGCTACCTTTTGCATTTTTAGAAATTTGTCTGTTTCATCTAGGTTATCCAATTTGTTGGTGTACAATTTTTCATAGAACTCTCTTATAATCCTTTTTTATTGCTGTAGAATTATTAGTAGTGCCCAATATTTATTTCTGATTTTAGTAATTTGAGTCTTCCCTCTGTTTTTCTTAGTCTATCTTGCTAAAGGTTTGACAACTTTTTCAATTTTTTTTTTAGAGGACCAACTTTTGATTTCACGGATTTTCTCTTCTCTATTTTATTTACCTGTGCTTGAATCTTCACCATTTCCTTCCTTCTGATAGCTTTGTTTAGTTTGTTTTCCTTTTATTGTTTCTTAAGTTATAAAATCAGGTTGTTGATTTGAGATCTATTTTTTATTGTAAGTGTAAAGCTTCTGCATATTAAATGTATCATTTTTCTCCAAACTGATCTATATAGGCAATGCAATTTGGAATCTCTACAAGTCTTTGTTTAAATTGCAAAACCAATTTTGAAGTCTGTGTGGCACTATAAATAGTCAAAATTAGTGTACATAATAGTCTTCACAAGAAAGAATATGGTTAGAGGATTTATGCTATCAGAAATGAAGACTTATTAGAAAACTACAATAATTAAGGCAGTGCGGTATTGACATAAGGATAGACAAATCAAAGAGTATATTAGAATTGAAAGCCCCAATACATATAGACTCATGTTGATTCATAATAATTTATAATGAGGTTGATACAAAATGCTTTGGATAAAAATTAAATATTACATAAACAATGCTGGGTTAACAATATTCATATAGAAATTTATAGATTATCTTTATATAGATTTTCTTAAAATATATGAGAATATATGAATCTTGACTCTATACCATCTATAAAAATCAATTCTGTGAGTATGATAGACCTAAATGTAAAAGTTATATCACAAAATATCTAGAGGACATTGTAAGAAGCTATTTTTCGTGATCTTCATGTAGAAAGGATTTCTTAAAGAGGATAGAACAGTACTAATCATAAACAGGCAGATCTTCCAATTGAATTCCATTAAAATTTAAAACACTCTTAATCAAAGACATTGCTAAGAAAGTAAAACTGCAAGCCACACACAGAGTACAAATATTTGCAACACATATGCCCAAAAAAGGACTAATGTCTGGAATATATAAAAGATCATGTAAAGCACTAGCAGAAAGGCAGACAAACAGCTTTTTAAAAGGACAAATAATTACAACAAGGATATCACAAAAGAGGCTGTCTAAATTGTCGGTAAACATGTGAAATGTTACTCAGTTTCATTTTCATCGGGGATATTCAAATCAAAACCACAGGAAATACCAGAACAAACCTACCAGAATGGGAAAAATTTACAAGTCTGACGATACCAAGATATGACAGTACCACACTTCATATTGTGTTATTGGGAATGAAATTTGTAAACCCACTTTGAAAAACTGTTTGGCAGTGTCCATTAGAGGATAAAATTCATATGCTTATCACTAAGCAATTCAACTCCTCAATATGTACCTAATAGATATATAAATACTCTGTAAGATATATACAAGAATGTTATAATGTTTCTAGCAGCCAAAAATATAAATTATTTAAATGTTCACTAAGGGAGGAATTGTTACAGAAATTATAGTATATTCAAATTACCACTACATACAACATTTGGATGGCTAAAGTAAGTAAATACAGAAGGATCATACCTCTGTAATGCATAGAAACAGCCAAAACTCATCTGTGGAGATATAAGTCAGACTAAAGATTTCTACTGGGGATGGTGTTAAAGACAGGGCACAGGGAAGTTTGCTTAAGTGCTGGCTGGTTTCTATATTTTGATGTGCATGTTGGTTGTAGGATTTTACCATATTCTTGCTGTTAAAATCACTGAAGTGTACACTTTTCTCTTCTTTATATACTTCTATATATTAATATATGTTATATTAATATATATTAATCTTTAATAAAAAAGTAAAACCCAGTTTTAATAACACCTTATCCAGGCTTACTCCTATAGTCTTCCAGGCAGAGTAAATCAATCTTTTCACGTTCAGAATGTATGGCTTATGTGTATTTTTGAGCACTCATAAAGGTAAATTGAAAATATATCAGTTTACTCAAGGGATTCATAATTAACTTGTTTAATCTTCAAGGAGAGTTCTGTGAAATGCAAGGACAGAAATCCCTAAGGAATCGTAGTAACCATTTTGTAATCCATGTTGATATTGGGAAATCTATATGGGTAATGTTCTCTTCAGCTTTGCCCTGAGCTTGCTCTGTGATCCTCAAGATGACAGGAATTGACAAAACAGCCTACCAGAGACCCAGGGGCCTATGTCCAAGAAGACAACACTTTTCTACATGGTATCTAGTTCCTCAGATATGCTTCTTTTTTCTTAATCCAGAATGCTGCCAAAACTCCCATCCATTTTCTTTCTTCATTTCTCACTAATTTTACCAAGTAATTAAGGTGTGTGCTAGGTGTGTGATCAAGACAGATCTCTTTATGACGATATATTCTTCCATATTTTAATTTAGCTTATATTGATCTTCCAAAATACTGGCTTCTTAAGTTGTGACTCAGAGTAGAAGTTTCTTCTCTTTGAACTCATAAGGTAGACTGTGTCTATTCTTATTATTTAAAGAGTCATAAATTTGCACATGAATCTAAGTTACTGCACTACATTTAGGGTATTCAGGGAATCCTCTGATGAAATACTGTTTACCAATGTCTGACTCTGCATACTTTCACACAACTGACCGCATTTTTGTGCTTTTTAAATGTTTTCCATCTCTCTTCTATAAGAAGAGCTTGTTCTGTTCACCCAAATTCTGTTTCTCCTTCTCTTTGCATAGAATTAAGTACAGATTTCTTTAGTCTCTAGTACAAAACAACCCTTACTATATTCAATCCCACACCAGCAGCTACATCTCCAGAGATCCAGCCTTAAACTGCAAAGCAGCAAGATGGTTTTAAAGTCATCCAGGCATATTTAATATTGACCTTCTTATCCCAGCCAAGAAAAGCTCCTACTGCTTTAGAAATTGGGTTCCCAAGCAGGTGGAAAATATTGTTTAGTTTGCAAATTTACAGAACAGTTTCCCTTTATCTAGCTAATAAGAACAAAGAACAAAGGAGAAAAGAAAATTGTACAGAATACTTTATGTCTTTTACCTTGATCTTTCCCTGAATCACAACTCAAGTCTGGCCAACTTGCATGTCTGTCAACAGTAAATTTCAAAATCATCTATTCATAGTTAATCAGTACTCTTCTCTTTAGGTTGATATCTTAACCCTAGATAAACTCTGCTTTCATTTTGAAGACAATTTGTTATACAGGCAAAAATAAATCCCAAACCAATTTTTAGTTCCCTCCGGTCTTCCCAGTATTACAACTGCTATCTAACCAACTAGTTAATTAAGCCAGAAACTTTGGAGTCATTACAGTTTTTTCCTCTCCTTAATTCTCACATCTATTTCATGATTACTAATGTAATGTATTGATTTCATGTCCAAATAGCTTTCAGATCTGTATACTCACCTACATTTGCAGTATCACTACCCTACTCCATGCTACTAGCAGTACTCACTCGGAGTTGAAGTACTGGCCTCATAATGCAAAGGTCCCTAGCAGCTGGAAAGAGGAAGGAAACAGAATCTCCAGCATCTCCAAAAGGGAGCGGCTCTGTGCACACCTTGGTCCATCTACATATTCTCTTCTATTTCAGTCAGTCTCTGTTTGAGAAAAAATGTTTTCACAGTACCTAAAAAACAGATCACATCAACCCATTTCTTCCAAAAATAAATATCAAAATCCTTAATGCAACTTGCGTGGCTCTAATGGTCTGATACCTTTCTACTCCTCTAGTCTTTGTTCACTCTAGAATCTGCCTCCCTGAATGCATCCCGGCCACATGCATCTTCCTGCGGCTCCTAGAACAAGCTCTCTCATTTATTCTTCAGAGGCCAGAAGAAACTTTGTTGACCACCCTGAGTAAATCAAACTCACCTACTTTTTCCATTAGGGCAGTCGCCACATCAGTAGTTTAATGTGTTTAGTAATTTACTATGATGAATTATTGAAAGAATTTTTGTCACTCTTTCTGAACAGAAACTAAATACTGACGGGAACTTAGTTGTTTCTTCATGTGTGATTATCTCAAGTACACATCACAAAATGCATGGCTTTTTAACTCATTAATAATTTGATGAATAAATGAATTTTAAAAATCATCTAGCAAGTATAAATAAATAAAAGCAACTTTAATCTTGACTATATTCTCTTTAAAATTCTAAAGGTTTGGAAAGCTGCCGGCGGAGGGCAGACAGCGGCCAGAGACCGATCCCTAATGAGAGCGCAGCGCGTGCAGAGGCGCGAAGCTGGGAGCTGAAACTCGCCTGGGTTGTGCGCACAAGTCTGGGGCAAGCGAACAGAAAAGTGGAGCGCAACCCAGGGGCGTTGGGGTCCGCTCAGGTCGCGCGCGTGCTAGGCCCACGGGCTGAAGTTGGAGCGCGCGGCCCGCTGGAGCGAGCAGCGCTGCGGGCCGAGTAATGGCAATGCAGATGCAGATTGAAGCAAATGCAGATACTTCAGTGGAAGAAGAAAGCTTTGGCCCACAACCTGTTTCACGGTTAGAGCAGTGTGGCATAAATGCCAATGATGTGAAAAAATTGGAAGAAGCTGGATTCCATACTGTGGAGGCTGTTGCCTATGCACCAAAGAAGGAGCTAATAAATATTAAGGGAATTAGTGAAGCCAAAGCTGATAAAATTCTGGCTGAAGCAGCCAAATTAGTTCCAATGGGTTTCACCGCTGCAACTGAATTCCACCAAAGGCGGTCAGAGATCATACAGATTACTACTGGCTCTAAAGAGCTTGACAAACTACTTCAAGGTGGAATTGAGACTGGCTCTATCACAGAAATGTTTGGAGAATTCCGAACTGGGAAGACCCAGATCTGTCATACACTGGCTGTCACCTGCCAGCTTCCCATTGACCGGGGCAGAGGTGTAGGAAAGGCCATGTACATTGACACCAAGGGTACCTTTAGGCCAGAACGGCTGCTAGCAGTGGCTGAGAGGTATGGTCTCTCTGGTAGTGATGTCCTGGATAATGTAGCATATGCTCGAGCATTCAACACAGACCACCAGACCCAGCTCCTTTAGCAAGCATCAGCCATGATGGTAGAATCTAGGTATGCACTGCTTATTGTAGACAGTGCCACCGCCCTTTACAGAACAGACTACTCGGGCTTTCAGCCAGGCAGATGCACTTGGCCAGGTTTCTGCGGATGCTTCTGCGACTTGCTGATGAGTTTGGTGTAGCAGTGGTAACCACTAATCAGGTGGTAGCCCAGGTGGATGGAGCAGCCATGTTTGCGGCCGATCCCAAAAAACCTATTGGAGGAAACATCATCGCCCATGCATCAACAACCAGGTAAGATTGTATCTGAGGAAAGGAAGAGGGGAAACCAGAATCTGCAAAATCTACGACTCTCCCTGTCTTCCTGAAGCTGAAGCTATGTTTGCCATCAATGCAGATGGAGTGGGAGATGCCAAAGACTGAATCATTGGTTTTTTTTCCTGTTAAAAACCTTAAGTGCTGTAGCCTAATGGGAGTGCACTGCACTGCTCCCTGGTGTTCTCCACAAGCCTCTTCCTGTTTTGACTACCAGGAAAAGGCTTCTGGGAAAACAGCTATTGTATCAGCTTTTCTGATGGTGTAAACAGGAGACAGCTAAGTAGTCACAAACTAATCTAAACTGTGTATTCCTCTGGGTGTATTAATCTCTGTATTTTCTTTGGTTTTGGAGGAGGGGTACGATGATGTATCTTTGACATGGTGCCTTGGGAATGACTTGGGGGTCTTTATAAGCTGTCTACTGGACAATCTTATGTTTCTAAGATAACTAAAGCTGGAGAGACTCGACCCTTCTGTCACTTCTGAATTAATGGTAAAATAAAATGCGTGAGCTAAGTAGCAAAGGGAAAAAAAAATTCTAAAGGTTTGAAATATTAGTATGACATTTTCTTTAAAATTGTTGCTTTCAATATTTCTTATACCTCTCCATATCTTCTCTCTCTTTTCTTTATTCTCTTTGAAAAATCTGTGCTCTAGCCAAAACAAATCCCACTAGGCTTTCTTCTTCCCCAGCTTTTCCTTCTATTGATTACTTATTAGAATAAGTATGAGGCTTCCTAGTTAGAAGATCATCTTTATAAAAATAAGTGAGAGCTGGAAATTAATAATGATTAACATGTACTAAGGGCTTCTTATGTATCAGGCACCGGTTTAAACACTTTATATAAACTGACTTATTTAAACTTCAAAACAACCCAGTAGGTTAGTACTAAGACAATTCCCATTTTATTGAGGAATAATGTAAAGCCCAAAGGAATTAGTAACCTTTTAGGATCTCAAGGACGATAAATGGTTGAGACCCTGTCTGCACTTGGAAAGTCTGGGTCCACTGGCAATGATCTTCATCATTAATTAACACAGATGACACATTATCTTCCTAAAGCAACAAAATGCTTCTTGTTGGAAGTGATCATGAAAAAGGCTCCGGAAATGCATGCATTTATAACTTGTGCTCACACGCAAGCGTGTGTGTGTGTGTATTACACTACCTCTTTCCCTCTGCTCAGTGTTTAGCACAAACCCTTTCCAGGTCAATAAAATATCCATAGAGTGAGATAATTGATTAACTAATGAGTCAGTCAGTTAAGTGGTACAATTTAAGGAGTTGAAGCAAAAGAGTGACCTGACAAACAATGTGTGTTAGGAAAAATAATCCTTGGAATAGATTGTAGTGGCAGCTTTGTAAAACACTAGATCCAGACACATGATATGGAGTAAAGGGGTTTAGAATAGAATATAATCATGAAACTGGATAGAGAGATACGCTTTACAGGATATATTAAATGTGAAGTGTTTATTCTTTCTTTGACTTCCATTTACATAGCTGTAGGACAGATAAGGCAGCTATTTAAAAGGGGGAAGACAATTTACATCTATAAGTTGTTTAAATATCTCATGGTCCAGATTTTAAAATTACTGTCTAGAAAAAGGCTGGCTTCCGCCTTAACTGAATTTATTTCCCACTTAACATCTCATAGGAATTATAGTGATCCCTTTCATTGTACTTTCAGTGATAAGGAAGGAATTTAAATTGTTTCCAAAAGGGTCTTTCTCTCTTTACATTAATCTTTCTTTCTCTTCTGCAAATTATGTTAAATTTATACTCAAGTTTCTAAATTCTGCATGGCAGTAAGAACAATGCTCCCCCTGAAGATGTCCACCTTGCAATCCTCAGAACCTGTCAATATACTATTTATCTAGAAAAATGGTCTTTGCAGATGATGTGATTACATTAAGGATCTTGAGATGGGGAAAGTGTTCTGAATTAGCTGAGTTGGCCCACTATAATCACAAGGGTCCTTATAAAAGGGAAACAGGGACGTCAGAGCCCGAGAGAGAGTTTTGGAGATGCTACTGTTGTCTTTGAAAATGTAGTAAGGGGACATGAGCCAATGAATGCAGAGGACCCTAGTAACTGGATAGCACAAGAAAGCAGACGATTCTCTATAGTCTCCAAAAGGTTGCAACTACATGGACACCTTGATCTGTAGGACCTCCAACCTCCAGAATTGTAAGATAATAAATTCGTGTTGTAAGTGACTACATTTCTGGAGATTTGCTACAACAGCAATAGGAATCTGATACTCCTATGATATATCTATAACTTTTTTTTGTTTTTGTTTTCAGATTGGCAAGGGTGAAAAGAACTAGTGTTCACTCACCCCAAAGAGTCAATTATTTTGCTTTCGCTAAGAAAAAGGACAATCAAAGCAAAATTTAATTTTCTTTTCTTTCAGATACACTTTAAGTGGCTCCAATATATTTTAGTTTTTCAAACTGGATTAGTACTGGAGGAGTAAGAATTGATAGTGGGAGTAGGAGGAGAAGGCAAACGTAGATATGAATACGTACAGACTTACTGATTTAGATATATATTGAATTTATAAAGTACCAGCTTGTAAAATAACAATTTTCCTATTCCATTGTCTAAGATTGTCAGAAGAGATGACAATATCCCAGAGAGTTGATAACACATAAAAGTAAGCTGGGTTCAGTGATGAATGCCTTTAATCCTAGCACTTTGGGAGGCCAAGGTGAGCAAATCTTTTGAGCTCAGAAGTTTGAGACTGGCCTGGGCAACATATAAAACCGTCTCTACAAAAAAATGCAAATTAGTTGGACATGGTGGTACATGCCTGTAATTACAGCTATTTAAGAGGCTAAGGTGGGAGGATCACTTGACTAGGGAGGTGAAGACTGCAATGAACTGTGTTGACAATCTGGGTAAACAGAGAGAAGCCCTATCTCACACAAACACACAGAAGTATGTCTGTTTGATAATAAATCTTACTACATAAAAGACTTTCTGGAATCATAGCACTCAAACTTTACTAGTAAATAAGAACCAATGTTTACATTTTTCTCTGTGTTAATTACTCCATTTCATGCATATGCTAAACTAGGATTTTCACTTCAATTGTTTTCCATCAATATCCCTACTTATAACCTAAATATTTTATTTCTTCGTTGTGTTGAATTGATAGATGTTTATCTTTTCCTGTTTTTTGTACAGTTAACCTCTTTCTCTCTACTACTCAAAACCTTTCCAAGGTTGATTGAATATATATTTATATAATAGTCGAAAGGGCTCCTGTCTTGGTATAATTTAATATCAAAATGCAACAGACAGGAAAAATTTCCTGTATTCTTTATATAATATTGCTAATGCTATGCATATAAACTGGGAATAATCTTAGAGTATCTTCTGACTGTACTTATTAAATGATGTGTGATTAGCAAGTTTTAATCCTCAAAGTAAATTAAAAAAATACCTACCTGCCAGATATTCCTTTCACCTCCATTACACTTACTCAGGGATAGTTCTCACAACCCAAATAAAGTTTTGCTTTCCTAGAAGCTGCAGAGTACAAACTGATGGGCTGTGATCTCACTGGATGATGCCAAGAGAATCTGCTATTCCCTCCTGATAATATAAAAGCATAGGCATTATGAGTATCTCAGGTCATAGATTTAAGCAAGACCTCTAGAATCTAGAATCTGAAAGAAGAAGCAGGCATCCATTTAAAATCTCCCAGACAAATGAGACTTTTTCCTTATCTCAATTACCTCCTGCCACCATTTTTTCCTTAAGAATGTGTCTTTGTGCTTGTGTTAGATTATTCTTATGTAAGGTTGAACATTGGCACTGGATAAAAACAGAAGAATTAGTAGCTATTCTTTTTGTGTGCTTGTTCTTACATCAATCAAAACTTTATAGTTAGACTTCATTATGTCAAACCATTTCTTTAAGAGGTGACTACCATTGACCCACTTGTAATTCATTCCACAGTCTTTTGAAATTTCACATTGTCTCATTAGGTTCAGTTCCAGTTTATTTCATGGTCAGACTGTAATTTTTTAGTCCCCCATGAACTTCATTACAAGCCATCATTTAAAAAGCTCTCTCTTTTTTTTTTTTTTTTTTTTTGAGACGGAGTTTCGCTCTTGTTACCCAGGCTGGAGTCCAATGGTGCTATCTCGGCTCACCGCAACCTCTGCCTCCTGGGTTCAGGCAATTCTCCTGCCTCAGCCTCCTGAGTAGCTAGGATTACAGGCATGCGCCACCATGCCCAGCTAATTTTTTGTATTTTTTAGTAGAGACGGGGTTTTACCATGTTGACCAGGATGGTCTCATTCTCTTGATCTCGTGATCCACCAGCCTCGGCCTCCCAAAGTGCTGGGATTACAGGCTTGAGCCACCGCGCCCAGCCTAAAAAGCTCTCTTAAAGAGTTGTCAAATAGAGGGGAAAACAGCATGCTTTAGAGTTCTCAGCTTTTGAGTGTACCCTAGGCAGATGCTATCATTCCAGAAACAATCTGGACTTGCATTCAAGTAGCCTTGGGCACTTACTATGGTTTCTATGGTTCCTACAATCAGGAGGTTTGAGGGAGTTTAATTCATCACTCTTTCTGCTTTTGGGAATTTAACCAATTGGAGCCTGCCAATGAACGAGGAAGTGTTAAAATAGGCTCAGAATTCTTCTTCTTCTTCTTCTTCTTCTTTTTTTTTTTTTTTTTTTTTTTTTTGAGATGGAATCTTGCTCTATTACTCAGCGTGGAGTGCTGTGACAGGATTTCAGCTCACTACGACTTCTGCCACTCAGGTTCAAGTAATTCTCCTGCCTCAGCCTCCCGAATAGCTGGGATTACAGGCACTCACCACCACGCCTGGCTAGTTTTTGTATTTTTAGTGGAGATGGGGTTTCACCATGTTGGCCAGGCTGGTCCTGAACTCCTGACCTCAGGTGATCTGCTTGCCTCGCCTCCCAAAGTGCTGAGATTAAAGGTACGAACCACTGTGCCCAGCCCAGACTCAGAATTCTTACTAGAAAAGCTGGATTGAAGATTATGAGAGGGTCTCGCTACCTTTATTTTGAGCCTAGAACTTGACATCCTCCCCTCTCTGACCTGTCCATCATATAGCAGGTAGATATGCAGAACCTAAAAGAGACCCTGCTTTTTTAGCCTACATTGTGAAAATTACAAAAGTGAGTATTTGCTGTGCCTGGACACAGTTCTCTTCAAGGCATGAGAGAGAATTGGCTCCATGCTGCCTGGATTATAATGTTTGGGTCCTATACTCATGGCAATGTGATTCATGGAATGGCAGATTCCCAACTGGATTCTCACTTCTTCTACCATGGGACAAGG